GCAGTCACAGGGTATTGTTGAAGTTAACGTTCGTTCGTTACAGTGTGTTTTAGCGCGAGTATTGAGATTAAGTGTATCGCAGAGTTATATTCGGAAAGAATAAACCAGTTTTATCAAGTAAAGACTTGTGTCGCTTAAAATTTCGTCAGAACGAAGTTACGGAAAAATCAATTAACAAACGGAGACGGAACAATATCTTATAGTTTGTTGTATTTTTTTTTAGTGCAAAGCTATACAGGAGCAGTAAAGTTATGGACTTATCCAACAGCTTGTCATCAAATGGAGAAAAAGAACATAAGGTTGAGAGCTAAAGGATTGAGCAAAATATCCTTTGGCATGGAGAACGACATCAACTTTATCTTCAGACATTTTCTCCTTTGGCAGTGCACTCAAATCCTCAGGCCTGGCAGGAGGGTTGCAAAAAGAAGGGACTGTCTTTAACCTGCATGATAGCATCATGTAGGAGATGTCTACCATTGTTCATGAACCTACCAGAGTGGAGGAACCCTTTATTCCTTTTAAGAGGTGCTGGTACCACAAATAAGCTTCTATAAGGTTATCTACCACCAATGGCAAGACCACTTTGGTTCAAAGCACTGTCTGTGTGTGCATGCATGCATGCACATAGAAAAAATTCTGTCGAAAGCAATTAATTCAGGCACTGCTGTGCACCTCATCTTGGTTTCATGAGCTTCAGGATCTAAAGCAAGAGATTCTTGAGTTTACACCAAATTCCACAAACTTTGCTGCTGGACACAGAGATATTGAGAAGACAGGGGGCAGGAGACATTGGAAGAGAGGCAATGTAGCATTCATCAATTTGATGATAAAATTGACTTTGCTACTTCATTTAGACTTTCTTTGGAAAAACATTTTGTACTTGTCTTGAGGAATGAAAAATACAATTCTGGATGGAGTCAAGCAAGTTCAGGATGTGGGCAAAGACTCATAAGTACAAATATTATCTCGCAGCTGCTACTCCTTCTACAGTGGAGCACATTTTGAGGGTCTCATTGTTCCGCCTTGCTTTGAGGCTTACACACAGTGGTCAACAGTTTAGAAAGACAGTGGATTACATAACAGGATTTTGGATGAACAACAGCTTAGAAATTGAGAAGCAAGTAATTGGTATGCTCAAATGAATCTTGGGAGGAGTTACTGAAACAGATGAAGATAGTGCAGAACTACCTGAAATATTGTTTTGAAGAGAATCTCAAGAACTTTAATGAGCACTGAATATTTCATGCTATTGAAAGGGGCTTCAAACATTACCATGATAGTGCCCTTCCTGTCACACAAGTTGTTTGTGGTAGATTCAAGCATGTGGTTTACTTCTTTGAAAGAATTAAATAGGTGTTACAGAACTCCAGTGTTGATCCATAAGCCGAACACTATTGGACAACTGCTGCTACAAAGTAAATCTCTTTATGGGCCATCAAGTTAAGATGGTGAACTAGTAGTTTGCAATCAAAAGCATCTCAAATACTGTGAAGGATAGAAGATATGGGTACAATGGATTCTCTTGCAAGATTCCTGTTGTTATATATTTCAACACAAAACTAGAGCCTATATATTTCGGAGAAAAGATAGTTAAGTACTAATGCAAGAGAGGCATTAGTTGGCACATTGTGTTGGTACAATACTGACAAATTGAAAGTGATGCTTTACCTGTTGCTGTGCCTCAGAAGGCGTATTGTGATCATATCTTTGACAAAGATAACAAGCAGAACCAAGAGCTTGTTGTTTCAATGGTCAAAACAATGTTATTATGCATTAAGAAGATCTACTTCCATATAAAGCAGATTGTTCTACAGTCAAACAATGCAGTTTTCTACCAGAACAGCCTTCTACCCATCACTATCCCTACTCTGTCTTAAACTCAGAGGATTGAAATCACAAAATTTATTCATACAGACACTCAAGATGGAAAGTTAGTTCTAGACATTCACTTTGCTAGATTGATAAATGTTCTCAAGTCTTGGTTAAAAAAAGGCAACATTTGTGTTACACCAACCTATGTAGTCACTGGCCTTAAATCTCATAGTGCTCTGCCAAACTGCATCATGGAAGTTATTAAGCATGATAAGCAACAGCAAGAAATAGTCATATGGAGCATATTAAAGGTTTCTTCTTCATCTAAGGCACACCAGTCCAAGTATCTCAACCGATTCCCTCTGATAATATAATTTCTTTCTAAGTAAAGGTACTTGAATATATCCTGAAGTGTTTATCAACATAATGACCCAGAAAGAGAAATGTATTATCAAATTAGAGACCATGGGGGAATTTGTTGGGGAGGAAAGTGACATTGAAAAAATATGAGGAAATATTGACAATGACACAGAAAAGAGTTCTCTAGGCAATCACCAAGATGATGGATAACTCGATAGCAAAAAGATTTTGAAGAAAATTTTAAAATTTCTTAACTTCAAACTGTAGCTAGGTATGGCATTAATGAATCTAAGGGAAATTAGGAGGCAACAGTCCCATTGAAAAAAACATCATGCTGATGATGCTCTGGATGAAAAAGCTCCCATAAATGGGATAGATTCCAAGGTCATGGTTTTATATTCAGCTGACAGGTCAGCTTGGGGAGAGACATGCCAGGGAATGGAAAGATAGTAGAAGTATCCTTCACAACTATGTCATCCCTCATGAATTCCAGGTTAGCTGTTTAGTTGGTCAAAAAAGCAAGAAAATGTATGGACAGAAATATATAGGGGCATTCCACATGGAGATCAAAAATAAAGCTAAGAAGAAAAGTCCAGAAAGAATGCTGGTAGAGTTATGGAAAAGTATCCAGGTAGACTTCACTTGCCTAGCAAAAACAAAATTTGGACCAAGATTACAGAGCTAATTGTGCCAGCCAAGACAGTATAGCTGAGCTATGGCAGAGCTAGTGTCTATCAACCGAGATGTAAAACCGAAAGCTGTCCTGCAGACCTTCAAAGCACGATTTGGTACAAGCAGAGAGAGACTGCTTCCTCAGTCCTGACAGTTAAGTTAAAAACAAGATCAACCTAAATCAAGCTGCAAAGAAGCAAAGAGCTTCAACATTAAATTTTAAAATTTATATTACTTTTTATGCAAGGAGCTCCAATAACTCTAATAGATGTAAAGGTGAACATGAATGAAGAAGTGACAGAAGAAAATATAATCTTAGTAGGCTGGATGCTCAAGAAGAATAGGAGAGCAAAACAATGCAGTATTGTGCCAATTTCAAGTATGCCAAGGAGGAGAACTATTCTACATCAGGTAAGGAACAGAGGATAAGAAGACATTTTCTAAGTGAAGAGCAAGAATATTAAAGATTCAAGGAGAGAGAAGTACTAAAATAATGGTGAAATAGCATGACCAGAGATACAAAGCTCAAATTGGCAATCTTACAAACATCTAAAATTATCTACAATTTCAAAAGGCATCTGACAACAGATTTTAAAATCTTGCTAACAAAGTAGTGCTCTTCCAATCATCAGGATTTTCCTACACATCTTAACATCTTGTTAATTACAGAGTTTGCCAGACAAGATGTATACATCTGACAATGACCCTGCTAACTACAGAATAAAAACTATCACCAAGACCTTAAGCATTGTAAAAAAGCAACTGACAGATTTTAACACCATGCTAATTACAGAGCTCACACTTGCTATCTCCCGATCATCAAGACTTTCTGTAATGTCAAAAGGCAACTGACAAGATTTTAACACCTTGCTAACTACTAAGTAGAAACTGGCAATCTTTTAACCATTAGGATTTTCCTCAATGTCAACAGACAACTGACTATTTTAGCACCTTGTTAACTACCAAGTTAAAACTGGTAATTTTCCAATAATCAAGATTTTCACTGCCTACAGCTAAAATCCCTAATAACTCTTTGCTTAGTTTTTTAAGATTTTAGGATAAGTCTTATTAGAGGCAAGAGACGCAATTCCAAGAAGCTACTCAAGCCTTTCCAGAACAGTCACTTATTCAATGCAAATATAATTTAGGGAAAAATCTTTCCCATTCTTAAAGAAACAGATAAGCTTGAGAAATTCTACCCCATCTTCATCAAACTTAAAGTTATAGCTAAGGGAATGGTATATGGTAGTATTTATTCACCTATCTAATGAAACATAATTTGGATTTTAAGTACCATTACCAAATTTCTTTCATATTATAAAACAATTAAACACATTTTATGAGCTAGGTGTAATTATCATTCATAAGTTTGTAATCATTCTGATTACACAATCATTCATTCATCACCTACATTAATTTCTAAAAGTCAACATGTTCTTTTGATACAAATTGGGATTTGTTTACCTATTGTTTACAATATTGATGAATAACAAGTAAACAGTCTCAATGACTCTCTCAGTTGTTGAAAGAATCAGAGAAGAGACTACCATGTACAAAGGTAAATATTTACTATTTTCCACTTTTAGTCATAGAGAAACAGCTTAAAGAATACTTATTTACTTACTGTTCCATGTCAATAAATGTTTCACCATGGATCCCCAGTGGCCAAAATTAACATTACATTCCAAGTTGAAAAGGACATGCTGGAATGTTTTTTACTCATAACTGTAAAAAACAAAAACATATAAATTACATGTACTACTTATAAACCATTAACTAAATTGTAGTTGAAATAAATTTGTACATACTGTACAGTGTATATGTGCAAGTTATTATATGTATAAATTCAATTTTATTCACCCCATTTATTGTTGATTTACATCTACATTAAGCAAACGTATATAAATGTTAAGCTTTTAAAGTAGAGTTTGATATTTCCATTTCCATTTACAGAACAAAACCAAACAATGTAACAAGTTACATTTATTTAGTCAAGAAACATAATAAAAATACAGTGACAGATAATTAATAGGGACATTTTGCATTGTGGCAGTATGAGTTGTTTAGAAGTGCCTTACTAGAATAAGTAGCAAGTTAAACTTTCAGTTCAGTTGGTAGAGCATTTATCTCAAGCCACCTGGCATAAAAGGTTTCAGGTTCATTATCAAGACAAAGTGATGAAAAACCTAAATTACTACAGCATCTTAATTACAAGTTAAAGCAGTTGTTGCTTTCCTCAGTCATTAATGTAAAAAAGTTAAAAGTATGATGTTTGAAAAAGAGTTATGTTTTTTTTAGTTTAGCCACTTGATTTTAACCCCCCAAAAAAGTAAAAATTTATATGCACTGCTTTACTTTTCAGAAAAAAAAATTGCTAACTCACCTCAGATTTGTGTAAGGTGTGTACTTCACAACTACTGACATATTCTTTCATAAGCCAATCACTCTGTTAAAAAATAAAACTCATCTCAACTGGAGCCTAGCCTGTTTTTTCCAAATCTTAAACTTGTGTCCTATCATCACATTATTTTTAGAATAAAGTACAATTAAGACAGGATATGCTCCAGTTAAGACAAATTTTATTTTTCTAATAGAGTGACTGGCTTATGAAAGAATATGTCAGTAGTTGTTGAGTACACACCTATATCCTATCGTTCATGTAAGCTTCAATAAGATCACTTTTCTTTTTTCCTCAAGAAAAAAAACAACATAAGAGATCTTAACCTATTCCAATACTGTGGTCAGCAACCTATGGCTTGAGAGCCAAAGCTGGTTTTCTTCAAATGACACCAAATATGGCTCTCGAGTCTTTTAGTCATTCACACACGTTAAAAATTAAACATACTAAGTAAATAATAGCATTCTCTGACATTTATTTCTCCTATCATTCTACCTTGCTGTTCTTTTAGACCAACCTACCCTCTGCTCTTGTTGGCGTTCATATTCCTGGAATGAGAAATCTCATTAAAGCAGCACACCATAAGTATGATAATCAATTTACACCTTCTTTGAATTTTTTACAATGCACTTGAAGTAAAAAGAATTGTGTATGCATGCACAAGTGAGTGTATTTTATACAGTTTTATTTCCTCTAACAATTGGCTCTTTGCAAAATGCTTGCTCTCAGTTGTTCCTTTCATTAATAATAATGGTCATACTTGCAATAGAATTGGTATTTAGGACCACCCTAAATATAAGCTGGCTGAATCTCGTGAGATACTACTGAGCTTACAGCTGAAAATATCATTAACAGTGAGGGCACCTAACTAATTAAAGAAACAATATACTTTAATATTTAAAAGTAGAGAAATAAGAAAAGTACTATCATATAACTGATCCAAAATGATGGGGCAGGTACTACCACCCACATTCCATAGTATACCCTAACATTTCATAGCTAACTGAAATAAATACATTTTGCAAGATCAAGCTTGACCAACAAAGAGGCAGAAAAGTGCAGTTGAGTCAGTCAAATGTCAGTAAATTCCTTTGTGAACCAATTAAAATTTAGATCAATTGTGAAATGAATTTATGGTGTATTCATAGTGCATTTTGATAACACTACATTCCAATAATGGCTTTTATGTCAGGTTGCTTAGCAACAAAAATTGTTTGTTAGTCTATCAACTAAAAATATAAAATGAAATGTATAGACAACAAAACTGGAAAAATATTTGTTGATTTCATAATTTAGAGCATCTGTTGATTAAAGAGGTTTGTTTTTTATTAAAAACGTTAGTGATATAACAGAAAATAGTTTAATTCAGAATTGAATCATTATTTTAACTTTCATGATAAATTTTATGCACTTGGCATAGGTGATCCCCTGCTATGTCTTTACTTTAGGTTTATTATACCAACACTAACTACACTTACAAGGTTTCACATTACACCATCCCTTCCACCCCCACCACTAAAATTGTAATGGACAGACAGTAATCAAACTATTCTATCTGGATAAATGTATTTTGGCTTTTAGAACTCCTATCTAGAAAAATCAAGCCTGATGTGACATACACTGGCTTTTATATAGGTTAGATATTTAATTAGCTATTCTGATGGCCAGGTTGATTTTTAGTTTTGCTCCAAGTACACAACTTACTTAGATCAGAAGTCATTAATTTTTCTTTCAGTCTGGCTCTCTTGAACAAAAAGGTTGCCAACCCCTATCCTACATAATAACTTTTCCAATCCTGGAATCATCCTAGTAGTCCTCCTCTGAACCCCTTATAAATAGGTCAATACCTTTTCTATGTACAGTATTCCAAGCAAGACCTAACTAGTGATTTGTATCAAGACATAATTATCATTTTTGACACGTCATCAACATATCCATAAATACATCTTAAAATTTGATTAGAGCACTACCTCATTGGATACCATCACTATGCCAAGATCCTGCAAAAGTTTTTCTTCAGGTATACTACTGAGTGGATTTCAACCCACGTTAAATGTGATATCCCAAGAGCATTACTTTGCATTTCTATAAAAAACATTTGTCAAATATTTGTCCAAAATACCAATTCATCCAAGTCATTCTGTAGTACTTCAGTATCATCAATAATGGCTAGAAATTTCCAAATTTAATGTAATGTTGTCAGCAAACATTACATATTTAATAATTATGTACTTATATCATTAATATAAATAAAACTGGCCCAAATACTGACCTCTGAAGCATTCCACTAGTAACAATGGTCCAGTCTGACTGAACTCTTAATAACCTTTTGCTTTCTTCCATCTAACCACCCTACAATGCAAGTATAACAATTCCACAAACTTTCTTTCATCCAGATAACAAGAAACATCATGAAGAAGAAGAAAAAAAAAGACAGCAGCTTAGTAAGTCAAGATTTTCCTCTGGTGAATTTATGCTGCCTTTCACTTAATTTAAAGCTGTTCAGCTTCAACCATTAGTGTCATGACTCATGAAAATAATCAAATATTACTATTTTTTATTATTCCAATTACATTTATTACCCAGCTCTATTAATTTTACTGCAACCATTATAATTCCCTTTCAAAACAGGAGTAGCATTAGTAATTCTCCAATACATAGACACCTGCCCAATCTATTGAATAATAGCAAGGAGAATAATTGAAATAATAAAACTATATAAAGCACCAGGACCAGGCAAGGTTTTTCACCAGAGTTTTATATGAGTTCAAGGATGAGATATATGATCCTTTGTTTTCCTTTTTGATAGGAGGATTAATATCTACATGATGCAGATCAATTTCAATCTTTCATGTATGCTAACATCTCCACTATCCAATAATAAAATTTAGAAATGAAGAAAAGGGAAAACATTCAGAAGGAAAAGGAGGTGAAATAAAATTTTAAAAGTTTTTTTTTCAATGATGTTACACTGTTGTTCACAATGCAACATTTAGAGCCTTGAATGAGGGCGTGAGAAAAGTTTTGGAATATCTGTCATTGGGGGAAGCAAATGTCATTTCTTACATGCAGTAGTTTTATCAAATTTCATCTCAAACATTAATGATTGAGTATTTAACTTATTTAAGTTATTTCAATACTTGCTCTCACATATAACCAAACAACAATCTAGAATTAAAAGTAAAACCCTGAGTTAGAACAGAAATACCTACTTTTCAAGCTTTGGCCTCCATATATGATCTAGTGCTTATTAACTTATAACTATAACTAGTATAAGTTATAATTAAGATTTTACGAAACTGAAAGAAACATCATGATTTATCAATTATCGCTGTTGACACTAATATTATTGTAAATACCGAAACACGATAATGAGATTTTAAACAAGCGTCCATTCCTTTTAATTTTAAATTACTTACAATTTACATAAATGAGGAAAGCAATTCCATCATTTCTCTTTTCCTTCCCATTGCGGATCCAAATGCAAACTGTAGCAGTACTAATACTAGTAGTAATGTAACGTTACAAACTCTTTTTCTTTTCTATTAAATAATTCACCTTATGAAATCATTATGAATATTTCTTTTAAAGTTAAAAAATTTACATAGACAGGTTAGGTTTCCCCACTTCAAATTAATAACACTGCTATTTCCAACAACCACGCGCACTAATACTTGCTGCAATTTTGGGTTAATGTTCAACTTCAGGGCAGGTACGACCATGTACCACCTGTTCCTATATGAGATAAACACTTCATATTTTTTCTATGGGTAACAAAACATAAAATTCAAGGACAACGAGGGCCCTACTGGTCTATATAGGCCATCCAATCCACTAAATTAACTTTAAAAAAAACAAAAAAAAAAAACAGAGCCAGCCTCATTGAAATATCTCTCAAGCTTCCTCTTGTAATGCAAACCACCACATATGAAAACAACACATTCCAAAGAATAACTACCCTGTTGGAAAAATATAACTGTTTTAGTTGAAGATTATTCATACAATGTCAATATATATATATATAATACTATTAATTACATTAATTGTCAATAGGCGATTAAATCAGCACTATAAAACATTAATGAACTTAATATAAAACAAACATTACAATAGAACTAAAATTACACAATTATTTTCCATTATTAGTCCTAGTTGTCAACATTGAGTCCATAACGAATAATGTTTGTGGTCATAGCACCCAAATGTGCTGGGGATATTCTATCTAACAGGTTAGGACTTTAAGAAATATTAAGGTAGAGTTATTAGTTTAGTTTAAGATCATTTTGCAAATAAAAGGGTGAAGGTTAGGAGTTTTACTTTTAGAATTTTTTAGGGTAGTTATATTTATGCTTTAAAGTTGTATGTGAATATTAAGTGTAACTGCTTTCCCACAACTGGCTGCAGACAGCGAAAAGCAGTAGGTGTTGAGACATTGTGGGGTAAGCATTCAACTCTTAACTCTTGATTGACTTTCAATAGCTGTTGGTTAGTTTGATATCAGCGTCAGGATTTTGTCTGACAGATGGAATATCCACAACGCATTTGGGTGCTATGACCATAGACATTATTCGTTATGACTTAATGTTAACAACTAGGACTGATAATGGAAAATAATTGTAATGTTTGTTTTATATATATTGTTAC